AAAATTAAGAATTTTTTAAATTATAAAACTGTAGAAATATGATTTGATGTTCCCCTATATTTATCTGACAGAATGAATTTGTGCCTAGTCTCATTCTTTGAGTGATTCCTATAATGTCTTACAGTTTTTCTAACTCTCACATGCATTATTTTGTTGGATCTACACAAAATTCCAATGGTAGTAGGTAAAGCAGGTGTTTACTCATCTTTAGAGATGAGGAAACTGAGGCTCAGGAGTCATTTCTCAAAAAAATAAGAGGAGGGCATATTAGTTAATAATGAACTCAGGACTGAAGTTTTGCTGACTCTTAGCTGAGTTCTTTCTGCTACCATTTTGGTTGTTATAATGGGTTATTAGCAATGAATAAAATGAACTTCTAATGTTAGAATTCAGAGGGAAAAAGATCTATGGGAAGAGGAAGCAAGAGAAAATGCAATACAAAGAGTAAAAGAGAATGAAGATACAAATTAAAGAGAGGGAAATAAAAACAGAACAAAAATAGGAAGAAAATAGGAAGGAGAAAGATTAAGTGAATTGGCTGATACAAGAAGAAAGAGAGTAAATGAATATAAATAAAGCTGAGAAAGAGAGGAAAAAGCAGGGTTCAAGAAGTCACAAATTAAGAGTGGAAAAAGGGGGAGAAAATATAGAAAAACTGAAGAAACAAAATAAAATTTGAAGTGATCATCTGTCCAAGGATTTAGTGGCTTATACCAAGAGGGCAGGTGTCCAAGGAGTTCTACTCCAGGATCAAGGGCACTTTTTCATAAATACAGTCAAAGCAAATATTAAATTACTTTTGCAAAACACCTACATTTCTAGCTTGTCTACAGCTCATAGCCCAGGATATTCAGAACTAGTAAGCCACCTTCCAGCTTTTTTACACAGAAAGAAAATTCAAAGTTAAAGGTTTGGGGCTTATGGGTCAGAACTGGGGTACTGTCCATCATGAGTGCCGTGCAGTCAGGGGCTGTGGAGGATAAAGATAGCACAATGCCAACTGAGACGAGGGGTGGTCTTTTTAGATTCAATTAACCATGCAGACTCACAAGATTATCATAGTCCTCACCTGGCACAAGTCTACTTCGTAGGACCTAACACAGGAAACACAGCTTGCCAGCAAGGTAGTATCAGCCATCCCTCTTCTGTGGGAGTAGTCCTGCTAGTGGTCTCTGCAGGTTTCCACAGGGCCATCCAGAAACTATTCTCTTTGGCCTCCCATCAGCTGAGTATGGGAGTTGCCCTGGCTTAGAAGCCCCAAGAGCCAAAATTTCCTGTAAGAACTCCATATACATAATCTGCAGGGATCTCACAAGGAACATGCCCAAATAATAGTACATGGTCCCTACACTCAGGGAACCCAAGGCTATGGATTTCTAACAGGTATTTATAGTTCTCCTGGTTCAGATGCAGTCTATCAACCAATGATCATTCTTATGTAAAAGCAATGTTTCCAAGTAACATAGCAGGCTTAGAATCTTTATCAGGTCACCAGAGGATCGGAGCTAGAAAATCAACGGAAGGCTAAGTTCTTGTTAAAAATTGAAGGTTTTGTTGACCTTTGCCCATAGGCACTAAAGCTAATCAAAGCAGCAGTCACAGCTCTGTCAGTCCCCAATAAGCTGGAAGCTGTGAGAAGACTGGATCCTTACCTCCTACCCTAATGCCTATCCTGGAACATAATAATTGGTCAGAAATAACGATTTTAGTACAAGGGTGATCCCTTGAAAAAGCAGTATCTTCTACTGTTACTGACAGGAAAGGAAAGTATAAAATTTCAATTTTCCCTAATGTCTCCTAGGTTGACAAGGATCCTAGGGAAACCATCACTCTAGACTGAAATATTGCAATATATGCTAAATATCTTTTTTACTCTATAGTTAACACAGCTGGATTATTTCTCCCTAATGATCTCATTACTGATATCACTCCCTCTCCCCTACTCTACCTCACAAAACCCCACCTCTAGAATAAAATTAATGAAAAATGTATTCTTCATCTGAACACCCTTTCTAATATGCCAATTTGCATTTCTTTTTAGTGCAAACTCCAGGACCTATTGGTAAGTTGCCTGTATATATATATATATATATCAACTCTTATATATCACTCAAATTCATAATAGGTAGTATAACACTTTTCTAATAGTGATTATAGTGGTTTGTCAATAATCATTAGAAGAGCATTCCAAAGCAAAGATGCAATAGAAAGAATCTGAGGGAGGGTGTAAGAAACAAGCAAGAAGACGAAAGATGGCTAAGAGAGTGAAACTAAAGTGATATGAGGGAAAAAATATAGAGGAAGATGGAGAGAAGATTTAGATTTAGATGGAGAGAAGAATTAAGATTTTACCTCAAACACCTATAATGAGAGGCAAGAATGAAGTGGTTATCCTTCTAACTAAAACAGGATTACAAGTCTCCTAGAGGAAGATCTTATTCTTATGGAGATTCTATAGTCCAGCAGCAGTGCAATAAAAAGTATTTAATCCTGAAAATTGGAATTTATTAATTCCTGGGAAACTATTTTCACTGGTCTTCTTTGGAAAACATCAATAGTACTTCTGTTTTTCATGTTCAACCACCAAAATAATTTATGTTTATTTCTATTTTTAGTACAATATACTGGACCCAGTGGTAAGTCCCTTATCTGTTTTTTTCCTCTGGTGTTCTCTGATCTTCTACCGTGTCTAGAGAGCAAATCACCTGTCCTAAATGTATCTATTGCCATTAGAACAGTGTTTTTAGACATCTTTTCATGCTTCCTGGTTTCCTCCTGCTGAGAATTCTCCAGGCTTATTTTTTTAAATAAAAAGAGTAAAAAAATTCCCCTAGATATGGTCATGATGGCTTCTATAACAATATAGGACTTTCTGAAGTAACAAAGAAAGAACCACAAGAGTAGTTTCCCAGTTCTGAAGTGCTTTGTAGTTTATAAAGGGCCTACTCAAAGATAATGGAGATAATGAAGAGAAAATGAGAAAAGGAAGACAAATTTAAAAAATAAATGTCAAAGAGGGAAAAGACAATCAAATTTCAATAGACTGAGGTCTTATCAATTTTCTTCCCAGTTTCCTGGGGGAAGTCTACCAGGGAATACTACTCAGGATCTAGTCTACCATGAGTTCCTCAGTCTTCTCTCCCAACTCCCAAGGCCATTCTCTTTCCTCATGTCCTATCCTGCCCCCTCGCCCCAAACACCCCTCAACACAAACACACACACACACACACACACACATGCACACCTTTAGGGAACAGGACATGACAGTGGTTGGGCTTCAATTACAGTAACTGGCAGAAGCCTCAGACAACTACAAACTATGAGTGGAAGAGAGTGACAGGAAAGTTCATATTGTGACTAGCTAGGGCAAAGCTAGTGTCAAAACCAACCCTAGGTCATAGGAAATTCTGAATCCGGAAATTAAGTGATAGCATTCCAATGTTTAAGCCAAACAGGAGGAAGTTATCAGAAGGCAAGTCAGGTGTACTCAAATATTCCTTCCACTAACTGAGCTCCTACCATGTCTCAGAAATTGAGCTGAGCACTGGGGATAAAGTCATGAATAAGAGACAGAAAGATGAGATTGGTTTCTGGTGCCGTGGAATTTACAGTCCTACAAAATATCTTGGAAAAAGGAACTCAAACTGTGGAGAGGGCAGGAACTCTCCCACACAATCATACTATAACCACTAAAACTGGATATTGCCTGCCCTAAATGCTGGTTCTAAATACCCTTATTGTTGTGGATGAGTATGAGTGACTATTTTATTGACTATTCCCCCAAATCAAGGCTGCCTTTCTCAGTACTCTTGATTTTCACCAAGACCGACAGCCGTGGAAGTTCTCATAATTCTTATAAGGGAAAAAACATAAGCCAGCTCATCTCAGAGGATCTCACTGTGGCTAAAGGAAGGATCTCATCTGGCCCAAAGTCTCTTAATAGCCACTATGTGCCAGAGAATCTGTATGGGTACATGGATCCCCTTTCCCTTCTTTTTATCCCTTCTTAACTCCCTCTCTCCTATGTGTAAACACTTTGAAAATATAATAATGGATAAATGAAAATTATATTGCTAAATTTATTCCTGCCTAGCTTTCCCCCAAATCATCAGTGATTTGGAGAAACTGCAAAATGCTCTGATTATTTTTTTTAACTAACAAAAATAAGGGCTCCAAATGAGACTAGTAAAGAGAAGTGGGAAGAAAACTTTTCAAGTCAATCAAAAAGTTAGGTAGGAAAGAGAGATTAGTGATAATGAGAATGACAAAAGTACATAGAAGTACAAGTTTAAGACATTGTGAACCTCTCCAAGTGTTTCAAGCATTTACCATCCCTGAAAGGAATGGAAAGGATGAACAAAGCCTCACTTTATGGCCACTCTCCTGCTCCAGACCAGGGGAAACAAGCCTGAGGATGCAAAACACAAGGGAAGTGCTTAAGCCCAGACACTGCACTGAGCCAACAGGCAGGTTAGAGCTCCCTGCATCCTCTCTGAAGTTACCTTTTTTAAGCCCATCATGGGAGAATTAAGTTCTCTTGGTTCTACACACACTGATGTCTCCCTTTTTTTCCTTCCATTTTTCCGCCAGCTGAAACTTCAGAAACGACCAGTAAGTTCCATGCCTGTTGTTATGATAGTTGCCTTCAGCTTCTTACAGGGACTGGAATCCTTTGTTTCTGTTTTGTGGGTATAGAAATTCATGTTTCTCTATCTCTTTCTTATTCCACCATCTAGCTGCCCCCCAAGGAATGAGTGAATTGAGGAGAATACAAACCTCACTTAATAACCCAAAATATAAAGCCAAAGTTTACTGTGACTTAACAAGGGAGGAAGGGTATTTTTATTATTGAATGAGAGCGTGCACCGGAAGGAAGAAATACGGAGAAGAAAGGTGAAGGCAGCACAGTTTAAATTACCAATCCCCTGTAGGATTTTAAGCAGTTACCAGAGATAAATCATCTCCCTTTCCACAGCCTGTCAGACTAAGCAGGAGGCAGAATGCCCCAAGGCATGATGGTAGTTGGATTCCCCAGCACAGTGCCTACAACACAGTGCCTAGAAGGGTTTGATGCTCCAACCTTTGCCATTTCTGATATTCCATCTCAGAAGAGTAGCAGGAAAACTAGTTCCTCTCTCACCAGCCTTTCCACCCTGATTTCTCTCTTTGTTTTTCAGCTGCAGGATCGTCCTCTTGTAAGTTTGACTGTCTCCCTTCATGATGGAACTCAATTATCTCCAGCAGTATCTAACAGATCTTCTTGAACCAAAATTTATCCACCCATATTGGGATTGCAATAACGAAAGCTCCTATTTCCTTGAACCCTTATTTTTTTCCATTACTCAGAATTCCACTAGGTTATTAATAAGTTTCTAGAATGTTCACTGAGTCACATAAAAATTAAAGAGCACAGAAAAAAAGTTTCTCCATGGTTCTAAAGATTGTCAACGAGGGACTTTCCATACAGAAGGGAATAAAATGAATGGGAGAAAAAGATATAGATAATATTTCTGTTTTCCAGTTGGGTCATCTATACAAGCAATTAGTAAGTGTTTTTTCTCTGTTGTGTATTTATCAAAGTCCAGCAATGTCTACTGAAACTTGAGTTCCAGTACAGGAACTTGAAACTCCTCTTTTCTTAGCCTTTCACTTCTCCATTATCGAGAATTCCACCAGCTGATTATAAGTTTTCTGAAAAGTTCAAATGCCTCTGACCAGAAAAACTTTTCAAGCAGTTATATCACTAAAAATTCACTGAAAGAAAAAAATGAATAGGAGAATAAACAAGAAGAGAGGAATAAGAAATCTCTCTACTTGTTTTTCAGTGGGATCAACTCCTCAGACAATCGGTCAGTCTGTGTGTTCTTTTATTCACTGCTGCAGAGTTTGACTGATTTCTAGTGGGGTCCAAGAGTCTTTATCTGGCCACATTGGGAGGCAAAGGGTTTCAGGTACATGTTGGCCTCTTACTACTGCATTATCAAAATCCCTCTGGGTTATTAATGATGTACTGGAAAGTTCTAACACTACTTATTTACATAAAGAAGAAGAGAGGAGAAAAAAAGTTTTGCTTGATTGTAAAGACCATCAACAAGAGACTATCTACAGAAAAGGAAAAGATGATGGGAGAGAAAAAAAGGGGATAAGAAATTCCAAAAACAGTTTTCCATTTGTACCTCCTGCCCCATCCTGTTTGTTTTCTTACATTTGAATTCCAAGATATCTGAGGAAAATTTCCCTGACTATACAGGGATTTTAGGGGCTTGAAGTTCCTATTTCCTTGACATCTTACTTTCACTTTACCAATAATTCTCTTAGGTTTTCAATAATTTTATGGAACAAAATCAAACCCCACTGATTTACATAAAAAATAAAATTCAGAGAGGAAAGTTTCCCAGCAGTTAAAAATGACATGTTACAAGGAACTTCGCAAATTGAAAAAAAAAAATTGAACGGGGAAGAAAGGACAAAGAGATAACAATTTTCTCTGTTCTGTTTTCCAGCTGGGTCAACTCTACATGCTTTCAGTAAATCTTTCCATGTTCCCCTCACTGTGGGGTCTGATAACTTCTCTTCCCTGGCAGTGCTGGGACTTCTGGGCATGGGGTACACACTTCCTTAACCACTTATCTTCCCATGGTCAAAATTCCATTGTTATTAATGACATTTGGAAAGTTCAAATTCTCCTGATTTACATTAAAAACAAATAAAGAACAAAGGGAACATTTTCCCTACTGTTATAATGACCTACCAAGAAGGAACTCTCTAAATATAAGGGAAAAAAAAATAGGGGGAGAGAAAAGGGTTGTGAAGATACTTCTCTGTTTGTCTCTTTCAGCCGGTCCACCTTCAATGCCTAGAGGTAAGTTCAGTCTGTTTTTCTGCTGTTTCCTGTTGTTACTGTTGTTCTCTACAAGGCCTACAGATCTGTCCCTGCCCTGCTCACTTCTAACTCTCATGCAACAATTTGAGACTCACGGCTCTCAGTTTCCTTTGCCTTCTACTCATCCAGCTTCTCTCCCTGTGAAATAAACTTACACGTACTTAATTTCAAACATATATTTACTTTGCATCTCTTATGTGATAAGAACTATATAAGTGCTTTAATTACATTATCCCATTTAATCCTTAAGGTAACTCCATTGATCTCTTTGTAAGGGCTAAGAAACTGAGACCACATACTTGATCATAGAACTATAATTTGAATAAAGACCTAAGTGACTACCAAGCTTCCCCCTACACAAATATGCCCCCCTAGAAGGAATCTTGTTCCTTTCAAACAAATATCTGCTGATATCTAATCTGTTTTTCAGGTCTGCCCCTGGCACCCATAAGTAAGTATTACATCTGTTTCTCTACTTTAGTTCCCTTTGGTCTTCTTCAAAGTCTGAGGGGCTTTGTTCTGTTACAGTGATTTGAATTTCTTGTTGCTCTCTTGCTTCCTTATTACTCAGCTTCCCCTATGTTATACATAATTTAAGAAAATATTGATTAAAAGAAAGACTAAGCTAGTATTTGTCAACAAAAACTGAAGAATATTATGAAATAACAGAGATAGGCAGAATTTTTGAGAGTGAGACAAGAAGTCTAAAATGATGTTTAAACGGAGAGAGACCTTGCGTGTTCCCTCAAAGATTATACAGTGCCATTCAAAGGAAACAGATGGAACCAGTGGTCTTTACCTGGGACTGTATCTAAAGTTGTTCAGGTCCAATAAATGAAGAGGGCCTTTAAGGAAACCCTGCCTTTGACTTCGTCATCACATCGTCACTGCAGCAGATCTTACATCTAATTTTGCATTGCAACTACTCTATATGGTTGTTTTGGATGTTTTCTTCTTATGTTCACCCAAGTCCTCCCCTCACAGACACCAGCAGAATATATTAGATAAAACTATGCTTTTTCTATTTAAGAAAAATTACATGGGTTTCTTTTTGCTTATTTTTTAGTGATTTCACAGAGAACCTCAAGTAAGTTCTTTACTTCTCAGCCTGTATGTTAGACTCTGTCTGAACTAAGATGTTTCTATTTCTAAGTGCACAAAAGATTGAGACTCATATTTCTCACATTCGTTTGCTTTCACATTACCCAAAGGCCTCCAGATTAAGAATGCAAGACAAACTTTTTGATTCATAACTGTAGGATTTCCCATTATCTCAGTTCTTAACTCATTTTCCCAGGTAACAGACACCAACAGTGACTCAGTATTTAAACCAGATCGAGCACTGACAATGGTGATATTTAATATAGAATTCATGAAGCCATTTTTCACACTATGTCCTAGTTTTCCATAATTCAAATCTCATTCTCATACCTATGTTACAAATGATTTTTATACAATTTCAATATCCGTGGGTTTCCTCAGATCGAAATTAAATTACATTAATATTAAAACCCAAAGTTCCTGTCAAAGTTAAAAATTCATATGCCTACAGAGCCCAGGCAGGTAATGTAAATGAGTGAGGTTAGGTACATCCCCTAGGAACTGTGTGGAGAATGGGTAAAGAGGGGAGCTGCTGCTGAGTTCCAGCCAATTTCTCCATGCAAGAATGCAGATCTAGAGTTGCCAAGGCATCTTAGTTAATCCAGATTTTAGGTAAAATTTCTCAATTTTTAAAACATGATAGTCATCTGGATCACTCTGACAGATTGCAAACAGACTTATATACCTCCCCAAAGTTCCATCTAAACACATTCTGAACATATTTTTAATAATAATAAGTTTTTAACAGTGTCAATAGTGTTAGGACACAGGGATTGATATTTGAGGAGGGAGAATTGAAACTGATAACATAGAATGAATTAGTGTCCCTCTGAAGTTCCCATCTACATATCCTTTCTGAATCCTGAGCAAGGAGGCTGATTAGCTAAATATTTTCACTGTGCAGATGAAAATACTGAGTCTACAGAGTCAATGATGCAGACTCCAAGGATGAGGTTGGACACCTCACATGTCCATGTTTGGGCATAGTCTATAACTGGAAACAGGGACCAAGACCCACTTGAGGTCAGCAGAAGGGATTATTGGTTTTGCAGCTAGAAATTATACAAAATCTAAATTGAATGAATAGTGTCCTTTTCAGCAGAGGCATCAGAGAGAATGGGCAGGAAAAAGATGTAAAAATCCAAGACCCAAGAGATTGGGAGGATGAAAAAAGGCATTCCAAAGGAACTAGAGAATATGCCACCACCTTTTTGGCTGGCTTGATCTTTGTTTCTAATTATTTTTTAATTAAAAATACACATCCAAGCTTAAGCATTAGAACCGGGGGGGGGGGGGTGATGTCTTCCAAGGGGCAGAAATTGAATAGAAATACATTATGAGGAGAAGCTAAAATTAAGGTCTCAGCAGGAAAGATGAAGGAATAGGGGAACAGAGGTAGCAGCTTCATCTCAGAAGCAGAGCTAGAGTTTCAACACCTGCTATGAGATGGCAGCCAAAGCAGGATCCAATATGGTGAGAACTGGAATTGGGCCTCCCTGAGGTAAGCTGGGAGCAGAAAATACACTGACTGTCCTAGGCAAGGAGCCAAAATATCTTCACCCATCTTCCCCAGCCATGAAAACAGAGCCACCTGCACAGATCCAGACCTAAATCTGCCCAGGGTGCAAAGCCCTGCTGGAAGTGTGCTATCCATGCAGTGTGGGAATCCCAAGCCAAAGCAGTTGAGATCTGTATCAGTGATGGTGTACATAGGTAGCTAGGGCAATAGCAACCATGAAACTGCCCACAATAAGGCATACACAACACAGGGTATTCACAAGATAAGACATCTACAATGATAACTCCCAAGGAATAAGAGACTACCAGAAAAATATGAAATGTAGGAGGAAATCTAGCACTTCATAAGCGCCAACAAACTGGAGAATTCCAACCCAGAGAAACACAGCTACAGCAATCTGAAGAGCACTAAAATAAGAAAGTTAAAATCTTCAAAGATATTAATGCATTTAACAAATATATATTGGGTGCCTGTTCCAGGCCAGGCATTATCCTAGGCACTGAGAATATAGCAGTGATAAAGACAAAGCCCCTGCACTCAAGGAGTTTACATTTTGAGATAAAACCAGGCAAATAATAACAAATAAACATATAATCGATGTCAGGTATATAAATGCCATGAAGAAATACAAGTAAGGTAACAGAGTAGACTACAGAAAGATGTTATATAGAGGGGAGAAAGCGTGTTCCAGT